GTTGGGAGCAAGTAAAATGTTTTAGCAGGGAGTGACATATCAAATCTTTGTTTTTATCAAAATCATCTGGTAGCAGTTTGGGAGATGAGTTAGAAAAAAAAAGATTTGAATGAAAGTAGGGAGACAGTTACCACACTTGAAATCCGAAAGTGGAAGGGGCTTAGCAAGAGCTAGAAAGGAGACGAGGGAGACACGCTTGAAAGGCGGTAATTCAGTGACTGAACAGAATGAGGAAGCCCAGCTGAATATATCCTTCACAACAACATTCATCTCAAGCTGGCACTGAAGAGTCTGTCTTGGACAGAATTGCTAGCTAATTTGAGACATAAATGTGTTATTCGGCTTTCTAGGCTGTGATGTTGAGAGAGAGAGAGAGAGAGAGACGGAGAGACAGAGACACAGAGAGACAGAGAGACAGAGAGAAAAAAGGAAAGAGAGAAAGAGAGAAAGAGAGAGAAAGAAGAAAAGAGGTTTTCTTTTATCGTTAAAATAAAACAACAAACAAACAAAACAACCAAACTAAATCAAAGGCAATGAAATGATATCTGTTCCCTCTGTGCCGAGACCAGGTTCTGCTCATAAAAGGACTTGCAAACTGATCTTCCCGTCTGTCGCCCATGCCTTAGGTAGACAGTTTGGGAAAGAGAAGAAGGCACATATTCAGGAATGTCACCACCTACTTATAGACCAGTTGTTTCATTGCCCCACCCAGAAATTAGTCCCTTCACTGGTACAGTCTTGGATCAGGGGACATTTAACACTTCTTTGCAAGTGCTGAAACAATCAGCACACAGGTATACTTTAAACACCAGACAATACAGTAGGCGCTGGACGGCCTTTTCTCTTTCAAACCCCATTTCCTCTTGTTCGTGCCTGTGAGATTGGACAACTGCCTGCTCCTTCCAAGCCTGTTTTCTTACCCTTCTTGTCTGGAAGCATAAAGTTGCTGTCATGGGTCTAGAGAAATGGCTGAGTGGTTAAAAGCACTTACTGCGATAACTGGAGGACCAGTGTTCCAGTCCCAGCACCAGCATCAGACAGCTCACAAATGCCTACAACTCCACCTCTAAGGGACACAACACCCCCCTTCTGACCTTTATAAGCAACAGTCACCCTCCCCACATGTGTATATGTACAAACACAGAAATAAAAGCTGTTGTGGCTAGAGAGGTGGCTCAGAGGTTAAGAGCACTGACTGCTTCTTCCAGAGGTCCTGAGTTCAAATCCCAGCAACCACATGGTGGCTCGCAAACCCCTATAATGAGATCTGGTGCTCTCTTCTGATCTCCAGGGATGGCACATGCCTTTAATTCCACCACTCTACAGGACAGGCTTCAAAGCTACAGAGAAACCATCTCAATTTCTCCCCCCCTCCCAAAAGTTGTGGTGATCATGTGAAGAAATCCCTCAGAAGTGCTTAGCTCATGCTTGGCCCAAAGCATGCTCAGTAATTGCAAATACTGATCTTTACATGATTAGAACAAAGCAGTAGCCAGGTATTGGTGGTGCACACCTTTAATCCCAGCACTCAGGAGGCAGAGGCAGGCAGATCTCTGTGAGTTTGAGGCCAGCCTGGTCTACAGAGCGAGTTGCAGGACAGCCTCCAAAACAATACAGAGAAACCCTGTCTCAAAAAACCAAAAACCAACCAACCAAACAAACAACAAAGCAGGAAAGAGGAAGGCATGAAGTATGGAGGTTTCTTTTTTGTTTATTGTTTTGTAGACAGGATCTCACTATATAACTATGACTGGCCTAGAACATCTTACATAGACCAGGCTAGCCTCAACCTCACAGAAATCCACCTGCCTCTGCCTTCTTGGTGCTGGAATTAAAGATGTGTACCACCACACCCAGCTACAGCGGGAATTTATCTGATCTAAAAACGTTTTATATGTTCCATATTTTTCTCTGCACTTTATTTTCTTCATGGGGGCAGGAAGAATGCATGAGGCAAGCCCTGGCTGGCCTGGGACTTGCTCTGAAGACCAAGTAGGTCTTGAACTTGCAGCCATCTTTCTGGTTTCATAGTTTGAAAATACTGACTTAGGCTGAGCAGTGGTGGTGCATGCCTTTAATCCCAGCACTTGAGAGGCAGACCCGCAGATGGATTTCTAGGTTTGAGGCCAACCTGGTATACAAAGTGAATTCCAGGACAGCCAGGACTACACAAAGAAACCCTGTTTGGAAAAAAAAATTTTAAAAAGGAAGAAAAGAAAGGAAGGAAGGAAGGAAGGAAGGAAGGAAGGAAGGAAGGAAGGAAGGAAGAAAATATTGGCTTGGTATGGAGTTCACAAGTGTTATCTTTCCTCCACTTGAGTTGGAGATTTCTGCGTCTAGCCCCAAAGTGTCAAATTTAGCCTCAAATTTTACAAAGGATGATAAGAAAATAAACCACTAGATAGTATTTTCTTTCTTTCAAAAAAATTTTTAATGTATTTATTTTGTTTTATGTGTATGAACAGGGTGTACAAGGCCCTGGGTTTGGTCCCTACCCAAAGAAGGAGGTGGAGGAGGAGGAAAAAAGGAAAACAAAACTTAAAAGAAACATGCTAAGCAGAACTAATTTGTCTTGGTCTGGAGTCTTAAACCCTGACTTGAAATCTGCCGATTAAGGCAGTCTTCCCAGAAGCGGGGGGGGGCACACAGCGGGAGTGTGTCTGTGTGTGCTGCCACAGCCCTGCCTCTTACTTGACCATTACTCGGCATGTTTTGATTATCAGCCCCACACTGTCAGTGACATCTATAGCAGTCCAGGGGAAATGCCAGATTTCGGGTGGAAACTGAATTGGCAGCCCCTGTATTCTTCTTTTAATTTACATCAAGACATTTCCTGTCTTAAAGAAAGACAAGGCTGTTCTCTTAAAGGAGGAGGAACAACGGTGAGGGAATCTGCAGAATAGATCAAGGCTGAACAATACCGCTCATCACGCAGGGGGGTAAGGGTGAACCTGATACAGCCTGTGGGGAGAAAGCATGTTTTTTTGGTAGCAATGCAATTCTGTTCCACATGGCAGCAAATGGTGGGGGAAGAGAAATGGCAGCAATTTGAACCCTTTCTCTTATTCCTACAAGATTACATCTGGACATATTTTTGCTTTTTTCCCCCTCCTACTAAATAGCAGGGCGCATAGGTGATTGCAAGCAGAAGAAACCTGTCTGTTGTTCACAGTCATACTGTGGTGGTGTAGAGAAACACCATCATTAAACATTATTAACAAATATTAATATTACTATCCCATGATAATGAAAAAAAAGCTAGCCACTGAGATTCCTTTTTTAAAGACAGATCTTGGGGTTAGTTCAGTGGTAGAGCGCTCGAACTGGATTTGGTTCTTAGCTATGGAAAAAAAAAAGACAAACAACAACAGCAAAAAAGGACAGGTCCTGCTGGGCAGTGGTGGGGTACGCCTTTAATCCTAGCAGGCAGATCTCTGTGAGTTTGAGGCCAGCCTAGTCTACAGAGTGAGTTCCAGGGTATCCAGGGCTGATACACAGAGAAATCCTGTCTCTAAAAACAGACAAACAAGCAAACAAAAAGGACAGGTCTTGCTATGTCAGTGGTTCGCAACCTGTGGGCTGTGACCTTTGGGAGTGCTGAAGGACTCTTTCACAGGGGCTGCACATTAGATATTTACATTATGATTCATAACAGCAGCAAAATTACAGCTATGAAGTAGCAACAAAAATAATTTTATGCTTGGGGTCATTACAACATGAAGAACTGTTTTAAAGGGTTGCAGCATAGGAAGGATGAGAACCACTGTGCTATGTAGTTTTAGTAATCATTATGTAGCCCAGGCTGATCTTAAACTCCCCACAATTCTCCAGTTTCTCAAGTGTTGGCACCATACCCAGCAGGGATATTCCTGTTATGGCCAATCTGTATTAAGATAACTTAGTTGGATTTTCCCAACTTTGAAAATTTCATTGGAAAACTGAGGCAGAGCAAAAGGAAGGACTAAAGAAAGTGTGCAGAAGATATGACTTAATTGGAATGACTGAAACAGAAAGGAAGATTAAGGAATTTGATGGCGATTTTCCAAAGCTTGAAGATGAAAAAAACAGATGTTTCTTTTAAATGATTCTGGTCTTGGAATTAGAACAAAATCCTTAGTGCAGAGTTGGAAAGATGGCTCACTGGGTAAAGATGCCACTGCCAATGCTGGTACCCAGGTGGTAGAAGGAAAAAAGCTGACTCCTGGGAGCTGCCCTCTGACCTCTATACTCATGCTGTGGCATGAATAGTTTCCCCAAACACATGCAAAAGCTCTGTTTCTCTGTTTCTCTCATAAACGTAAGTATTTCTTCAAAAGTTTCTATTTTAGTATTAGCATTATTTGTTGTCTGTTTTCTGAGACAGGGTTTCTCTGTGTAGCCCTGGCTGTCCTGGAACTCATTCTGTAGACCAGGCTGGCCTTAAACTCAGAGATCCACCTGTTCTGTCTCTCAAAGTGCTAGGATTAAAGGTCTATGCCACCACTGACAGGCTTCAAAAGGGTTTTTAAAGAATCTCGGGAGATGGTGAAATGGCTCAGTAAGTGAAGGAAGGCACGTGTCACCATATCTAGCAACCTGAGTTCAATGCCCAGTCTCCACATAGTAGGAGAACTAACTTCTGTAAGTAAGCTGTAGCATGAGTACACACACACACACACACACACACACACACACACACACACACACACACACACACACACACCTATCTACATGAATCAATAAACAATAAAATTTTCTTTAAATCAGAAAACTAGGATAATTTGGGTCTTTAGGGGCAAGAAGTCTGTTCAAAATTGAAACTTTTAAGAGCCTACTAACCAACAAACCCAAAGAAGGCACTGCATTGACTGGACTCTCCAAAGTCCAGACAGCTCAATGCTACTGAACTGGTTCATTCTACAAGGCACTCATATATGCACTAAAGGGCTCTGAATGTTCCTTTTTTAAGGCAAGGATTTGTGATAAGAAATATCAATTATGAGTCTTTCCTCTCTATTTACAGAGTAAGAAAGTGAAGACCAGAAAAATGAAAGGATTTACAAGAAACGTAGAGCTGGTAAGTTGCCACAGCCAAAATTGGTTTCCAAACTGAAAACTGCCTCTGTCTTAACCTCTAGGCATCTGGGTTCACAAGTGTTTGTCCCACACTCAGTTCACTCATTACTGAGGTCCCAGCCTACGCATTGGTCCATGCTAGGCAAGCACTCTGCCAACTTCATTATTTCCTTAGCACTCTCGTGCTAAACTTCGATGACTCTGCTTGTGGGCTTTCTTTCCTAGCTAGCTGAGAGGCAAAATGATGGATGGGCTTGGAGAACAGTACATTGACTCTCATGATATTGTTTCAGTAAAAGATGAATCACGAGGAGTTAGAAATTCTATTTTACAGAAGTTTCCATAAACGAGCAAGCTTCAAAAAGACCTCCTTTGTGTTATAAATAATGTAAGAGCCGCACATCTATCTTGCAGAAAGAATCTTGTATGGCTGTTTGTTTGTAGAGAGGACTGCTTTGGACAGCCCAGCCTCCAACTCTTTTTCCCAGCTTTGCCTCCCTAGCACTGGGATTATGAACATTACACCCAGATCCAGAAAGGCTCTGATTTACAATACATTCTTTCTCTTGACATTTTTGTCTTTGCATAACAGTATTCTCAACATGTTGAACCCATCAGTTGTCAGCCCCCTTCTTTCCCCACCTGTCTCAATACACTCATTGCATTTTTTAACAGATTAAAACATTCTTAATGCCAAAATTTGAATAACAATTCCCTGTTTTTCTGAACTGAATTTTGTAGCTTAATGTTATTATGAAGTTTTGAACTTGTCTTTTTAAATGGTGAAAGTTTCTGGAAGTTGAAAAGTTTTATCTAATAATGGTACAATAGAGTGCATAATTTTAAGTGTGCATAATTGGTATTTGCTTTTCATTTTAATAAATTATGCTGGTGGTGTCATTATCTCCTAAAATTGATTCCTACTTAGTCATTCTGTCAGGCATAAATTCTTATTTACTAGAAAGCACTAGTACTTCTTTTTGGTTTTGCTTAGTTTATTTATTTGTTTATTTTGCTCCCATATTGAAGCACTGATAATAAACATGGGGAAAAACTCTGAAAAAAATGTTTCCAACTAATTTTTTTGTTTTGTTTTATTCTTTTATTTTTTGAGACAGGGTTTCTCTTGGTAGCCCTGGCTGTCCTGGAAGTCACTCTTTAGTCCAAATTGACCTTGAACTCAGAGATTCTTCTCTGCCTCTGGCTCCCAGAGTGCTGGGATTAAAGGCTTGCACAACCACCGTTCTTCATTTTTTTAGTTGTAAATATACAACAAAGGGGTGAGGGAAAGATATACAACAGATGATAGAACCAAGATACCCCACATGAGATTCTTGCAAGTCAAACACGATCTTCCCAAATTAAAACATTCTCACACCCTTATCTCAAGTATAATAAAAAAATCTGAAATCAGACCAGTAAGATGGCTCAGTTGGTAAAGGACTGTGCCAAGAATCCTGATCCTGGGACCCTAATGGTGGAAGGAGAGATGTGACTACAGCAAGTTGTCCTTCAGGCTCCGCACAAGCATCATGACACACAATCACATGGATGCACACACTCAAAAGTAATTTTTTTTAAAGAATGTGAAACCATTGGTCTTTCTGCTTTGTTTAAGCATAGAAAAATCAGGTTGCCTTTTTTTCCTCCAAAATATATTTTGTTCAAATATTTCAGGTTGTGAGTGAAGCTGACTTGTGCAACCAGTTTACCCTCTGGGATTTCTTCCCCGTTGATGATATGCAGTACCACCCGAATGAGTCACATTTCATAAAATGTAACATCTGTGCGAGAGTGTTATAAACATGACAGTGCCCAAAACAGCTGTGGAACTTTGGAAGAAACAGAATCTCTCCTTACAGCTAGTTCTGCATAGTTCGGTTTGCAGAAGGTAAGCCTGTGCTTGTGCATACAGCCCACATACGTTTTCCTTCTGGTTTTTATCGGCAAAGGGGGGAGCGAGTGGTATAGCTCAGCTGGTAGAATGCTTCTCTAGCTTGCACACGGTACCACAGGATGATGCTTTAAAAAAGAGGGCCAGGATCTCAGAGGTACATCTTCCAAGAGGGCTTCACCTCACTTGTTCATGTCTGACATCTGATCATTTGGGTGTTAGGACCCAAATCTGGCCCACTTACAAAAAAAATCACTAAGATTTGAGGGCACTCAGTCAGGTGGAATCCCAACCTGCTCCACCATAGGCAAGCCCCACCAGCCACACCCCAAGAACCTTCAACTGCCAGGCTCCACCCACAGAACACTCTAACTGCTCTAATTGCTGGAACCGTTCACCACCTACAGAGTAAAAGGCCAGGATCTCAGGACTTGAAATCCCACCAGTCTCCACCCTGGAAAGCTTCCACCTGAGAAGTTCCACCCCACTGCCCAAGATACTCTACATCAGTCCTGTATCCTGTTCAGTGTTCTGCTGTTTCTCACCTGAGCAGAGGCAGCTGTTTCTCCCCTCCCAATAAAGCTCTTGCATGAGGTTGGTTGTGTGGTGTGATTTGGTGGTTTTCCTTGGCTCCTGATTACCATGATATCTTTCCATCCAAGCTACAATGCTTACATTTGGTGCAAAACCTGGGATAGGTTCTCCTAGTGCCTGTGGTTCCCCTTTGGATCTAAGCTGTGCTGGGATCCCATCCCTTGTCCCTAGTCTACCTGCAACAGACTCACCTTCTGGTTTACCAATCACGCAGCACCCCATCCGCCAACAGCAATTGTTGGGGCCCATAAAGATAGCTCTGGGGGGCTGGGGAGATGGCTCAAAGGTTAAGAGCACTGACTACTCTTCCAGAGGTCTTGAGTTCAATTCCCAGCAACCACATGGTGGCTCACAACCATCTATAATGAGATCTGGCACCCTGTCTGGCCTGCAGGCATATATTAAAGGAGAATGCTGTATACATAATAAATAAATCTTAAAAAAAAAAAGATGGTTCTGCTTCATCTTGGCTCAAGGTCAGAGAGTTCAAAACTGTCCCTAGTAAGTCATAAGACCTGAGGGTCTAAGGCATGGCTACAGTAGGATGTTTGATCTTGACCTTGGGTGTCTTATCTAAAAAACAACAGATTTGGTATGAGGTGTGGTTACTCTTGACCCTCAAGGTCAGATAACAAGAAGTTGAATCTAAGGTGTGGTTAGCGAATCCTTGGAGAACTGAGGAAGAAAGTCTATTTGTTCAATATACATGATAACAAATTCTCCTTTTTGGGTAAGGTATTTAAGATGGTGAAGAATAAACTCGGCACTTTCAGTTTTCACTGAATTGCCCTCCTGACTCTATCCTGTGTCTCTGTCTTTTTCTTAGCATCTTTATCTGCCCTTTCTCAATCTACACTCCTCTCTCAGATACGAACCAGGGGCAAGTTGACTAGTTCCAACTGTAGCCCCACAAACACGGGCTCCCACAAGTGTCCCCTTTGGTCAGTGCAAATGTTTCCCTGAGACCAAGGAAGGGACCATTGCATGTCCAGCACCCCTCCAGTATTCTTGGAGGCAGAGGTACCCCCAGCCATGGTCTTTAAGGATAGGCTGGCCATCTTCACCTGACTCTATCCTCCCAACCATGGAGCTGCAATCCTGAAGTTTCCTTAGGCCCAACTAAGTTATTTTATCCCTTCTGCCCTCTTTTCCTATCTTCCCTTCAGAGCTTCACAGAGCAGAGCAGAGCAACTGTAGCACTTTCACTGGGGAAACCCTCCCATGTAGCAGAGTTTATACACTTGCATTAGGGAAACCTTTCCCAGAGAAGAGCTGTAACACTTTGCTGGGGAACAGAGCCGTTATACTTGTTAGGAAAGCCTTCCCTTAAGAGCTACTTGTAATCTGGCAGATCCTCTAAACTCTGGTAACTTTTATGACTCTATTCTGCATTTCCTTCCTGTGGATGAGACCCTCCTCCCAGAGCTTGAATTTTTGTCCTCGCCTTCATGAAAACCATGGTACCAGGCACTGAGCTTCTCTTCTGCCTTAGTCAGGCTAAGCCCCTGATTCACTTTGGAATGTTATGATGACTCATTGAATGGCATGGTCCTCATTCAGTCCTCCCTGAGTTCTGGGGACACCCACAACAGGATGCACTGAAATTTCCCTTTTCTCTCATCGTGTTTAACATGCCCTTCATACCCTCTCATTACTTCTTGGTACACCACTTAGAAAACCTTCAGCTTCTCCCTCCACCTGATGCTTGACCCGAAGGGCCCAAAACTTATTCAATTTTGCAATCAGATTAGGCTTCAAGAACCATTAGATAATCAATCCAAAGAGCAGCCTAATGGAACCCTAGATTCTTTTTTTTTTTTTTTTGGTTTTTCGAGATAGGGTTTCTGTGTATTGTTTTGGAGGCTGTCCTGGAACTTGCTCTATAGACCAGGCTGGCCTCGAACTCACAGAGATCTGCCTGCCTCTGCCTCCCAAGTGCTGGGATTAAAGGCGTGCACCACCAACGTCTGGCTCCCCTTTCTCCCTTCTTAACTACAGACTGCTCACCCAGTCAGAGCTTTGGCAGACCTCCCACCCCCACTTCATGAGGGTCCTGAATGGAATGACAATTCCCCAGGGGCATCCTTGCTAGGGATCAATTTGTAACTTGCCTCTTGGTGACCATCCTTAAAACAATAAATCATGAAAAAAAATCCAAGAAGTCATCCAGGACAAACATTTAATTCCTAGACTGCCTCACAAAGGCCCTCTTAGGATATATCAATCTAGATCCTGAGACCCCAGATAGAAAATAACTCAGTATGACTTACTTCTTCTCCCTGAGTTTCCCTGATATTAAGGCTAAACAAACATCTATAGCAATGGCCTTTTAAGGTGTATCATGGGGGAGATCAAAAAGCCTGAAAACAAAAATAGCTGATGCTAGTGAAGGCCTTTGACTGGTCATAGAAACTGCCCAACTGCCTAGGCTCTCTTGGCCTGACCACTGCCATCTCTCACTGGGAGCCCCATCACATATAAGGGTGATCTATCTCTCTCCTTCTGGACACTGGAGCTACCTATTTAGTCATGATGGAGTTTTAGGGACCCTCCTCTTCTTGTTCCCCTATTGTCAGGGTAGGGTGACAGCTTCACCAAACTCATCAAACCCCATGAAATATATTACCCAGGCTCTAACCTCTTTCTTATTCTCTGTCTCTCCCTAAAGCCAAGCTTATATAACACAGCTCATTTGTAGTCTACCCCTGCAAATTAGCCAGGTCAACACCTCTACCTTATTAAGCTTTCTGTCTAACTGGTGATATAAGGTCTCACCCTCTAAGGTTCAGCTGTTCACTCCTCAGGTTACTTATCTTGGATTAGTTATTGCTCCAACTCACAAGGCCATTACCCTAGATAGAAAACACTTAATTCAGTTACTCACAGTCCCCACCACCAAGGATGAAGTTCTATCCTTCCTAGGGATGACCAGCTTCTTATACTCTTGGATTCCTTCTTTCTTTCTTTTCGCCTGCCCCCTATATAAGGCAGCCCTTGGACCCTCACACAAGTCTCTTACAGCCAATACTAAGTCACTTCATAAACTTCAACAGGCCCTCCTCCTAGCCCTGGTCCTATATCTTCTGAACTTAGCTTGCCCCTTCTCTCTCCAGGTTACAGAAAAATGAGGGATATGTCCTCTGGGTCCAGAGTCACCAACTGGGATTTTTCCTGTGTGCTCATTTATGCATATCAGGAAACAGAGAATACTGTACAAGGACGGGCACCTTGCATCTGAACTTCTTATATGTGAATAAAAAAGGTTACCTGAAGGTTACCCACTACTGTCTTCTCTTTTCACCACCTATGATGGGGGATGTCCTTCTGTATATATGTTTCTCTTATTGGTCAATTAATAAAACACTGATCAGCTAGGCAGGAAGTATAGGCTGGGCTATGAGAGGAAGGAGGAGGAGAGAGACACCATGCTGCCGAAGGAGCAATATGCCAGATTACGGGTAAGCCACAGCCTCTCGGTAATACATAGATTAATAGAAATGGGTTAATAATTAAGACAGAGCTAGCCAATAAGAAGCCTGAACCATCAGTCAACAGTTTAATAATTAATATAGCATCTGTATGCTTATTTTGGGGCTGAAGTGGTTGTGGGAACTGGCGGGACAAGAACCTCCTGCTACACTCCTATTCCCATCTTCTAACACACAAGGATCTCCAAACACTTCCAGCGTTCTCTGTCTTCGGGTAGGACAGGTATACTTACCTTTCAGTCCTGCTCACAACTCAACATTTCTAACTAACGCAGGCTGCTGATCTGACCCCCCTAAGGTATGAATGGACCATTTGCGTCTGCTGGGTGTTATCACCCACCAAATTAGATTTTAGAGTCTGCCTCTTCAGCCGCTTCTTCTCTCCTCCTTGGCTAACCACCCATCTCTCCTTGCCCATTCAGTAAATGTCCTCTCTCCCAGTTGCACCACCTGGGCTGCCTGCAATGTGGGCATACCCCTGCAGCACCCTCAGGGTCCCACCACATGGGCAGTTCTCCTAAGACACTTGCATTTCTCCAGCTATTTTCTCCTCCACCTGCTCTAACCACGCGTCTCTCCCCGTCTACTGGGTAGGTGTCACCATGAGCACCCTGCTTTGTTTATCTTTACTACAAAAGCCACACTGGTGTGCCAGGAAGCTTCCTCTCACCCTACTGGGCTCCCATTACGTGGAAAGGGACAGTGCTCTGTGATTTGGGACATTTCTCACTGACAAGTCCCTCAGTCTACTTGGGGATGTGTTGGATTGAAGTTTTTGTTGCTGTGATGCTTACTGCCTCTGCTTCCTCATGGTTCCTCTCTGTTCCTTCTAGAACTTCCTCACCTTTCCCTAGGAGCTGCCTACAAGCTCCAGGTCCTGATACCTTTCCTTGCTTCCTTTATCTCAGAGCTACCTGTTCTGTCTCTCCTAGTGCTCTCCTGGGCCTATGTGTAGCAATTTTCCTAGCCTCCCAAAGGGAGCGGCCTGCTAAGCCTAACTCCACCGGGCCATGTCTTTGTCTTCTGTCACCTACAAAATGAACCCTTCAAATTCAATACAATATTTTATTTTCAATTTAGGGCTCAAACTTCCAAAGTCTCCTCCTATCTTTTATTAAAGCCTATCATCTTGTTTTCAGTAAGGGGCTGAGTAATCTAGGCAAATTCTTGAATTCTCAGGTCTCCCAAGCGCTAGAATTTTAGCTGAAGTTTGACACGCATGCTAAATTCCATGACCAGCCTATGGGTCGCACAGCAGGGGGAGCGCTGAAACTACCAATCCACTGATGGTAACCAGAAGTTCGGTGCTCTGGCCAGAAGAATCTTCGTACTTCCGGGTCTCGGAAAATGGCGGCCGTCAGTGGTTTAAAGCTAATGCGGTACACAGGTAATCCTGTAAGAAAACTTTGTTCTGGCTGTTCTGCTATTGGCTATGGAATTCGAGGTACTCTCTCGGCAACTTCTGGCTCACAACGCGGTCAGTCGCA